TGCTACACTTACTTTATTCTTGTTTTAATTCATAAGCACCTAACATTCTATTCCATACAACATCGTAGGTCTTACTGCAGCCCGATAAAATTTTTCCTTCAACTTAAACGACACCTTTGTGTCACATAAAATCTCTGAAGCCCTCATACATTTCAACCACCCAGCTTGAATTCAATAGTTTATATTCCCTTTTATTTCTCCATTGTTTTATATTACGGACCTCAGATATTTAAATTGCGTGACTTGGGGGATGATATGGTCTCCAACGCATACTTATAGGTTAGAAACGCTTCTCCTTTTGGTAAAATTACATTCCATATACTCCGTCTTACTTCTGATTAGGCGAAAGTCATGCGTTTTTAAAGCTCGTCTCTAACTTCTCATTTTGATCATCCTCCGACTCTTCAAGTATGACTATATCATATGTTAAAAGCATGCATCTCGGTGCTAGCTCTTGGATGTCCTCCGCAAGTACATCCAAAATTAAAGTAAAACGATAGGGGCTTATGGTTGAACCTTAATTGAGAAAATTGTTTGTCTCTCCACTCTATGCCCACACACTAGTCAATACCCCTTCATACATATCTTGAGTAGTTCGAATATATGCAATCCTAATCTCTTTTTTCTCTAGAGTTTTTCATAAAAAAATTTAGTCACTCAATCATATGTCTTCTCTAAATCAATAAAAATTAAATGCAAATTTTATTGATTTATCAAATACTTTTTTATTAGATATCACCCTTCTTACACCGTCTTAACGGGGCTGCATCATCAATTAATTTACACTTTTAAATTCAAATCATACACCAATACAAGTATAATATGTTATAACATAATACAAATTTATGAATATGCCGTTAAATTAAATTTGTGTTTTTAGAGATTATAGTAAAGAAGATTTAATTGAATAGTAATTTGAATCATATTATCAATATTCTTTCATGTTTCTTTAGAGCAACTTTAACGCAGAGTTGTTAAACCAAAATTCTTTATAGTTTACGTTAGTAATAAGGAATTTGCATTATAGGAGAGCTGACATGGCATCCAAATGAACTAAAATTTAGTTCCCATTATCTATATAGTTAACGTTAACTATGTGAAACCTATTATAATATTATTTAATATTAATAAAATATTCCAAATATTCCAACAACATTAAAGTAATGATATGATATTTGAAAATAGTAACGGTCATATTATCATTTTTTACCTTCTATAAATTCTATAGAAATTTTAATTTTTTTTACACACAGTTTTACTACTAAATTTTTTTCTTTCAATTTTCAATCTTATTTATTTATTTATCAAATGGATCCAACCAATCGAATCCTTATTATAATTATATTCCTATAAAAATATAATTTTTTTATGTATTATTGTTGTGAATTTTGTATCATTTTTAATTTTATAATAAAATATATTTAATATTATTTTTAAGTTTTTAAGATAAATTTTATTTAAAAAATTATATGTATTTTAATTAAAATAATTAAATTAATGGTAACTTGAATAAAAAATATAAAATGTGGGGTCAAGTTTTGGTTTCTTATAGACAACCACCATTAAAGTAAAAACTACTCAAATCAACTATAAATTTTTTAAATCCTACAAATCACTTTGGGCCCACAAAAAGTATTTTAGTTTACCCATTTAGTTTACTCCCACTAAAGATGCTCTTATAAAGGAATAAATTTGAATCGTGCAAAATTCAGTTTTTGATTTATTGTATAGGTTGATTAAAATATGAATTAAGGTTTATTTATGTCAGTTTTATTTTTAATAATTTTTATAGTATTACATATTTTTGTTTTAGAAAATTTACAACGAATTTTTTCATTAAATATATAAATCAAAATTTGATTTAAATAGTTATTATTTAAATATTTTCTATTTTTCTATTTTGTTCCTTCAACGTAGATGGTTAATTACTTGGGTTTGTATTAGAAATAAAGTATTGACTTGGGCTTTAGCTTCTAATATAACTACGAACTTGGGCTTTATGAGTTCAGAGTCCAAAGAGTAATGTTTTTTTTGACAGGAAGCTTTACCCCATACCCCTACACTTGTACCCACACCCCTACATTAAAAAATATTGGACCAAAATACCCTTGTTTAAATATCTATAATTTTGAAAATTTTTCATTTTTCCTTCATTCCCAAACACAAAGACATCCGGAAGCTCTCTTTCTTTTAACAAACCGGAAGACTTCAACCAAGACATCCGGAAGTCATTTTTTAACAAATACGTACCGGAACACTACAAGTAAGTCATCCGGTTTGTAACTTTTTTTTCATCTTCACCGGAAGACTTAACGAATGTCTTCCGGTTTGTAAATTTATTGATTTTGTCTTCCGGAACTCTTTGCTAAAGACTTCCGGTACACGCGATGAATCATTTCTTCACCGGAACTCTTATTAAAAGACATCCGGTACATATAACAACTATTTGTCTCACCGGAACACAATCATGAAGAGTTCCGGTGTGTTTTTTTTTTTAATTTTTTTTTAAATTTTTTTTTTACGTATTTATTTTTTTTTTTACTTATTTAAGTTTTTTTTTTACTTATTTAAGTTTTTTTTCTACTTATTTAATTTTTTTCTACTTATTTAATTTTTTTTCTACTTATTTATTTATTTATTTTTTTTCTACTTATTTATTTATTTATGTTTTAATTTTTAATTTTTTTTTTCCAGTGGTGCGCACACGAGGCAGAGATGGTAGGATCCCTCATGGAGTAGGACGGGGTGAGTCATCCAGAATGGCGGAAGAAGAGCATTTTGATGCATCTGCATCAGCATCCGCATCCGAGCCGGTTGGATATCCAGGAGGGCCGTCTGATACATCTCTGTTAGTTAAATACGAACAGCATATTGCAAACCGTATATGGTTCGGTCAGGTAAGAAAACGAAAATTATTTAATATTCAATAGAATTCAAATTTTTAATTGTTTTAATTGTTTTCAGGAGAGAGGGTCGAAAAAAGAGTTAAAGGTAGCGGGGCATGGATTGAAGTTGATGCAGAGGGTTCCACTACAGCTACCCAGAGAGATGGAGGGCTGGATATCTAGGTCTGGTCTAGCTTCACTTCAGAGAACTAGTTTAACAAAGATAGACACAAACCTAGTTTCAGCATTTGTAGAGAGATGGCATCTAGAGACATCTTCATTTCACATGCCGTTTGGTGAGATGACGATTACTCTAGATGACGTTTCTTGTCTGCTTCACTTGCCCATCAGGGGAGTCTTCTGGAATCCTCAAGATATTAGTGAAGCACTTGCTGTTGAGTGGGCTGTTCAATATTTAGGAGTGTCACGGAGAGTAGTACAACAACAAATCCGTGAATGCAGGGGTTCCTACTATAAGCTGGAGTGGTTATATGATCTGTTCGTAGAGCACAGAGCTGCATCTAGATGGGATTATGCCACTAGAGCTTATTTGCTGATGTTAGTGGGTTCCACTATTTTCGCGGACAAGTCGTTTACTCTTGTCGAGGCACGATACCTGTCACTGTTTATAGACTTGGATGGCTTACCAGGATACAGTTGGGGAGCAGCTGCATTGGTTACTCTTTACAGATATCTCGGAGATGCTTCTATGTTCAGCTGTAAGCAGCTTGGTGGTTATCCGACTCTCCTACAGGTATTTATTTTAATGTAGTATATTTTATTTATCTAGTTTATTATGTTATAATTAATTATTTTAAATTTAGTAACCATATTAATTTTGTAACAGTGTTGGATTCATGAGTATTTTCCAACGCTTGGAAAAAAAGGAGAGAACTGGATGCCAGCTAATAATGTGGGTCTCCCTCGAGCGATGAGATGGTCCTATAGGCAAGGTTCGTTGAAGGTGGATGACTTGCGGCCTATTTTGGACGAGCTGACACCTGCTGACGTCATATGGCGCCCATTCGAGAATCATAGAGTATGGTGTCAGTTTGATGAGCTATGTCTATATAGGGGGTGTCTGAGGTGGGGTGACACTGTTGTTCCATATTTGCCTGACAGATGTATGCGTCAGTTTGGATACCGGCAGTATATTCCATATCCACCTCTAGATCATACGATGGCTGGTGATATTGATGTTGACTGGATTAGTTACCATCAGAGCGTTCAGAATGTGATTCGTCCGACAGCACCGGCCACCACCCCATATGAGACAGATGATGGATATCTTGAGTGGTACTATCGTGTCTCTCATCCTCGTCTGGTACCGCCACCCTATCATGATGTGCCAGTAGAGATGCCAGTTCCTATATATGAAGCAGGACCATCTGATCCTAGTTGGGCTCGAGTGTCTTCGTTGATTCATCGGTATCTTCAGCAGGCTGGTGCTGAAGATGATGACCCACAGTTTGCAGATTTGTTCGAAGCTTTATCTATTGCTCGATCACATTGACTTGTATTTATATTTATAATTATATGTTAACTTTTAGACTCATTTGACCTAATTGTTTTATGTTTATGTGTTAACTTTTAGACTCATTTGATCTAGTTGGTTTATGTGTATGTTTTGAATGATTCACAATTCATGTTTTGAAATTAAAAATGAGTAACATAAGTCATTATTCATGTTTTGAAATTAAAAACGAGTAACATAAGTCATTATTCATGTTTTGAAATTAAAAACGAGTAACATAATTTATAATGTATAATGCGCTGGTAATATAGGCGTAAGTTGTTGCCAATGTTGTAGACGTCCTGCAAATCCTAGCATCCAAGATGTTGCTGCTGGAGAACGAAACTTCTTCCAATCTATTGTCACTGGTGGCAATGGAAACCCTTCTTTCATGTTTACCTAAATAAAAAAATAATCAAAATAGTAAGTAAAAATAACGAAAAAAACTTAAGATTAATCGCATTATCTAAAAACAACTAAGTACCTGAACCCAATGATTTTTGTTTACAAAACCAATGCAGTAAATTGCTACATTCGGTGAAAATGAAGTTGTCATAGGGAAGAAAGTCCAGCATTCAATTCCTAAACAGACAAGTACAACATTATAACGATTCGTTATCACGTAACCCATATCTGGCAGAGTTAACCATTTGCTTTAACTTCCAATGAGCAGACTCGACCCTAAAATTAATACATATCAAATATATTATAAAAAAATTAAAAAAAAATACAATTTAGAAATACTAAAAACAAATACATACCGATTAGTCGTGGTGTTACCAAAATGTAGCAATCGATTAATCCATGCTTCAACAAATCTTTGTCTATGTGGTGTCAACCATGTGTCCTTCACATAATCAATAAATTCATTACAATCAACGCACGCCTGCTCAAGTTGTTTCAACGTTTGATCATACTCAACCTCATCACTAGCCCATACAACCTCCGTCCATAATTCGTCAATTTTCTTTTGCATGTCACTAGCCACATATTGTTTCCGTTTTGCACCAACATTCTTGTTAATATGATATCGACATAGCATATTGATCGACCTTGGAAACACAATTTCAATGGCTTTCATCAAAGCAAGATCTCTATCTGTCAAAATCACTTGTGGACACAACTCTTTTTTCACAAACAATTGTTTAAGCTTATCTAGCACCCAACAAAAATTCTCAGTTTGCTCAGACTCAATATAGGCAAATGCGACAGCAAAAGTCAACTCGGTTGATGTCATTCCAACAATTTCAAATAGAGGTTGCCTATATTTGTTTGTCTTGTAAGTGCTGTCCATAACTAGCACAGTAGGAAAAATATTCAACAACTTAACTGAATCTGGATGAGCCCAAAAGATATCTCTAATAACTTCAGAGTCATCTCTTTTTCTACTCCAATAAACATAACCTGCTTCCTCAATAAGCTTAAACAAATGTTGTATCTCACTTCTAGAACCTCTTATATTTTTTACTATCGTACTCTTCTGTTTGTATATTTGCGTGATCCGAGTGACATTATCTGGATCTTGCTCTTGCAATGAAAGCAGTATATGTCTAGGTGGAACCTTTCTCTTTGTCAAATCAATAACATGTTGCTTCTGATCCGCTGTCAACCTACCGACAAATGCGTGACCTTCTAATCTATCAGGTAAATCATGGTTATGAACTCCACATTTTACATCAATTTTCCATCCAGATCCATCAGCCGCTGGAATTGATCTGATTCTAAATGGACATTCACATTTTTTCGTCGCACTCAGAGTTCCACTAACAATATCTCTGTGTTTTCCTCCTTTATCACATCCAAATATTAATTTGTTACTTCTTCCTCTCTTACCTGTTTTAATATCTGAACGAGTGATGATAACCGTAACTTTATTTCGGATTCCGATCTCTTTAATCCATCTTATCACCTCTTCTCGTGTATTAAATTTTTGAGTAGTTGAAAAAACATCAGACGTATCTACCCATATTTGATCTTTATCGCATATTTGTAAAGGAACTTCTGAAATTACATACATACGTAAAAAAAAATAATTTAAAAAAAAAATTCAAAAAAAAAAATAAAAAAAAATGCCAATACAAACCGGAACACTTATAGAAAGAGTTCCGGTAGCCAAACGATTCACAAAACGAACCGGAAGACTTGTTACAAGAGTTCCGGAAGTCAAATTTTCAAACCGGAAGACTTGTTCCAAGTGTTCCGGTAGTCAAAATTTCAAACCGGAAGACTTGTTCCAAGTGTTCCGGTGATCACACGAAAATTCCAATACCGGATGTCTTTTTTAAAGTGTTCCGGTATGAAAAAATATACATACCCATTTGCGAGTCTCAGAGTGTTCCGGTTGATTGGGGGTCTAAAAAAAAATGAAAATAAAAATAATAAAATATTAAAATATATGAGGATAAAATGGGTATTTTTTTAAAAATGTAGGGGTGTGGGTACAAGTGTAGGGGTATAGGGTAAAGCTTCCCATTTAGTTTGGGCCCACAAAAAACTACTCAAATCAACTATAAATTTTTTAAATCCTACAAATCACTTTGGGCCCACAAAAAGTATTTTAGTTTACCCATTTAGTTTACTCCCACTAAAGATGCTCTTATAAAGGAATAAATTTGAATCGTGCAAAATTCAGTTTTTGATTTATTGTATAGGTTGATTAAAATATGAATTAAGGTTTATTTATGTCAGTTTTATTTTTAATAATTTTTATAGTATTACATATTTTTGTTTTAGAAAATTTACAACGAATTTTTTCATTAAATATATAAATCAAAATTTGATTTAAATAGTTATTATTTAAATATTTTCTATTTTTCTATTTTGTTCCTTCAACGTAGATGGTTAATTACTTGGGTTTGTATTAGAAATAAAGTATTGACTTGGGCTTTAGCTTCTAATATAACTACGAACTTGGGCTTTATGAGTTCAGAGTCCAAAGAGTAATGTTTTTTTTGACAAAGCACCAAAGAATTTAATTCTTTCGGATTATTATTATTGGAGTCTTATTAATTAATTAATTGACTAAAGTTCCAATATCAATCCTCCATGTTGAATTGCGCTATTAGCGGCTTATTTTTCATTTTCTATCAATTCCGACCAATCCACGTGTCACCTTCATATAATTAAATTATTTTGTGAAAATTTTAAAAGTGCTAAAATGAATGAAATATATTTTTTTAAAATAAGTCAATTATTTTTGAAAATATTTGAATTTTTCTTTTTCCAAAATTTCAGAGTACAATATATTTATAATTTTAAGACTATGCCATTTTCTTAAATTTTACATCTAGCTATGTTTCAACCATGGTTAAATATACACTTTTTTATATTGTTAATTTTTTAAAATTTGTGCGTTAAAATTGGAATAAAATTTTATCATAAATTTTAAAATACAATTTAAAAAAAAAAAATACCTAATAGTTAATTCTTTAAAATTTCAACACGTATTCATGGAATAAAATTCAAGAGCAGAGTTATTATTCAAACTCGCAAGCATAAGGGTGTAAAAAGAGAATGATACACTAAACATTCTCCTTTTCAAGCAACATTAGCAAAATAACTATCATCTATTTGAAGAATAAATATTAATAATCGATCACATGGATAAAAAGGAAACTTCCCATCCATATGTGTTGTACAACACATCCCTTTGCTAAAGGAGTTATTAGGGATGGATAAATTTGAATCAATCGATTGAAACTCATTGATCTATAGTCTTTTTTTGTGCAAATGGATTGGATCGGATTAGGTGTTGGATTGATTCGGTTATTTAATTTGAATAGTATAAGGTTGTTTCGATCGGGCTCGAATATTTATTTTAGATTCGACGAAAATCAAAATCGACCGAACTTAATTAATATATATTTTATTTATTTTTATTACTATATAACTGACTCATTATAAAAATGAGATTTATAGTGTTGCAGGATATTATCATTTTTATAATTTAATGATGACATTATATATTCTCAAAAATATAAGACATGCAATATAAAATTTTAAATATTATTTAGTTTATAATTTAAAGTATGATAATGATTAAAATTAATGTCAAATAATATTAAAAATATTATTACGTAATAATAATTTTTCTTTTAATAATAAAAAAAATTGTTCTATTCTAAAAATTTGATATTTTTTATGATAAATTTAAAAAAATAGCCATTTTATAGGGTTGTTCTAATAAATATTAAACCGATTAAACTGACATGACTTAACCGTCAAACCGACATAACCGAATTCAACGAAAACTAAAATTTTATCGGTCGAAATTGGGCCATAAAAATAAAATTGTGGTTTACATCGAATTTAAGTTTTAGGCCCGAAACCGACTGGACCCGACCGATTGTCCACCCCTAATATCCCTGTTGAAACGATCAAGCAGAATCTGCAAATAGTGTTCTAATGTGTGGCCTTAATATTAGACTAGACGTTGCAAAGGTGAACTAGGTTGAATGGCTCACTCATGGTTTATGGGCTTTTGGGACTATCATCACTCATCCTTTTTTGAAACTCTTTCCTTCTCACTTATGGATATGAGGAACTGGTCCTAGTTGAGATATGAGAACTAAGTTAGAAGACCATGTGTCCTCGATTAAGGGAAGAGAAAAAAGAAAGATGCAGAGTGTAATTCTACTTCCTTAAACAATGTTAGTCCCTTCTTACCTTTCTAAATATGTGGTCGATGACCAGTAGCGCAAAAAATGTAGTTGGCAAGGGTTCATGGTCCCCTAAAGTGAATCCACCGAGGTGGAATGACATATCTCATTGTGAGTTATTTTTGCTAGAGTTCAAACTATGACATAACGATACTTGAATTTTTTTCCAACAAATCCATGAAAAATTCAAAGATCTTAGACGACTATTTAAAATATATGAGCCCCGAGGGATCATCAGAACTAGGGAATTACAAACTAGGTAAAATGTTAAATAAGACATCAAAGCCCATATGTAATTACAGGTGGTAAAAAATCATCTAGAATACATTAATGAAGGACCAATAGTTTGAGTTGAGTTGGGACAAGGCCACCCCAGGTGAAAATGGATCTACCTCTTAAACAATTCAAATGGCATATGTATTCATATCTCCATGAGGAAAATGGCATACATGAAAAAAGCTAATCTAAGGTATCGGCTAAAGATTCAGTCATAGGTAGAAGGGATATTTGACATCTAGTCTCTAGAACACCCCCATCTGTGAAAGAATGGTAAGGATACAATTACATGTAAGTATTGAGTGCACAATCTAAGAGGGAAATGAATTAGACTTACTGAATTTTTCTTGATATTTAAGAAAGTTTCTTTTCTTTTTAACTTTCTAGTTTATAATAAGATGTAATGGCTGTTTTGAATAATGAATAACAGAAAATTAAAGTGCATAAAGTAAAGAATACAAAGATGTATATTAGCCCCCCTTTCCAACCAAGGGTACATCTAGTCTCGTCACACCCCGTGAAAGATTTCACTATGTTAGAATCTAAGCAAATCTCACACCAAGGTCACTCGTACACTTTTCTAACATAAACAAGAAACCATACCACTTTGTTTTACACTTGAATTGAAAGCACACAATTTTCTATGTCAAACAATGATCACTTAACACTTTGTGATTGTTGTGAATCAGATACCTTTAAACAAAGTATAAACGGTTTCTTAATAATCAAGAAACACACAAGGGTTAGGGTTAATAAAAAAAAAGCAACAAGGAATAACAAGGATTGGTTATTAAACTGCTATTCTTTCCTTTCTCTTAGAACAAGATTACAAGTATACAAGAATAACAAAATAACCTCTCTCCCTTGAAATTAGGATTTTATCTTCCTATTTTTCCTTATGCCAAGATTGAGAAACTAGCATCCTATTTATAATAAAATAGCACACTAACCTAATGGGCTTTTTAACAATTACCCATTACAAGCTAACTTAGGGTACAAGCTAACTTAAACAATTGGGCTTACAAGCAAGACCCAATTCAACATGCTAACAACCCTAGCAATATTTACTCATGCTAACAACCTTAGCAATATTTACTCATGCATGTTAACAACCTTAGCAATATTTACTCATGCTAACAACCTTAGCAATATTTACTCATGCATGTTAGAACAAACTTCGACTACAACACGCATTACTTGCGAACAGACTTCGACCACACTAGAGTTCGATCCAATGTCTCACAAATCTCCACCTTGGATCTAACTCTATCACATCAAGAAACTAGTTTTCTTCATGCAGCTTTATCAACTGCATACAGTGGAAACACTTGCAACTGGGCAACATCTTTTCTTTTGCCGTTAACGCAATGTCCATGGCTGCCTCACCCTTCAACGCTTCCAAACAACCCTGCTGAACCAATAGGGCTTTTATCTTCAAGCGCCACAGACCGAAGTTGTTCACTCCGGTGAACTTTTCAATCTCATACTTTGTTGAAGGCATCTTCTCCACGCTCACCGCACCAATTTGTTGTGAATCGGATACCTTTAAACAAAGTATAAACGGTTTCTTAATAATCAAGAAACACACAAGGGTTTGGGTTAATAAAAAAAAAGCAACAAGGAATAACAAGGATTGGTTATTAAACTGCTATTCTTTCCTTTCTCTTAGAACAAGATTACAAGTATACAAGAATAACAAAATAACCTCTCTCCCTTGAAATTAGGATTTTATCTTCCTATTTTTCCTTATGCCAAGATTGAGAAAATAACATCCTATTTATAATAAAATAGCACACTAACCTAATGGGCTTTTTAACAATTACCCATTACAAGCTAACTTAGGGTACAAGCTAACTTAAACAATTGGGCTTACAAGCAAGACCCAATTCAACATGCTAACAACCCTAGCAATATTTACTCATGCTAACAACCTTAGCAATATTTACTCATGCATGTTAACAACCTTAGCAATATTTACTCATGCTAACAACCTTAGCAATATTTACTCATGCATGTTAGAACAAACTTCGACTACAACACGCATTACTTGCGAACAGACTTCGACCACACTAGAGTTCGATCC